ATCGCTAACCCTTGGCTTCTAAAAATTTGCTTTCAAGGATGAAGCCTCCCGGTTAGCTGTAATCTGGCCCTTCCAAATTCTTCTCTCCCAGAGAGAGACACATTTCCAGATGATTAGAGAACTTCAGGTGGGACTGTTACTCTTCCTCTGGCTTTATGCCTTAGAATATGACCTAAGGCAAACTATCATTTCCCAGAAATGAAATATGTCATATGTTACTATTAAAGTGAACCAGAAAAACAGCATTCTATTACAATAATGGTTTTTTTAATGTAAATATCAAATCCCCAAAGGAATAATACATATTTGATACTATTATTGAAACAGCAATACTAGCAATTGCATGAGGTACTTATATTTAGTATTTTTCCTATAGCAAAGGGATTTTATGTAAATCTTTCAGTTGAATTATTGTGTCAGAGGAAAATGAGAAACAGCATCACTTATTATGCATGCCATCAGTGTACATTTCTTGGAGGTGACTGTGTGTCTGTTATCAGTCTAAATGGTGGGGATGCAAAAATAAAATGAATAGGAAATGTTCCTGCCTTCAAGGAACTCACATTCCAGTTGAAGATGCATATATAGCAACCAACTACAACGCAATGTCACAATAGTTGTGATGAAGACTCCATCTGGTCCATGAGAATACACGTAATAGACAACGATTCTTCACAACCAAAGTCCTCACTATCATTAGCGACCTATTAAAGCTTAGCTGGATCTTCAAATATCAAGAAGAAAAGTGCATCTGATGGAGACAGAACAGCATGGGCAAGCTTGTAGCAAGAAAAAAGAAACATGGCACATTTAGGTAATAATGAGTGGTTTCGAGTAGTTACAGAGGTAAGCCTGTCAAACTGTCTAATGTCAAATACTTTGATAGAGTTAAAAAAAAAACAACCTTGAGTGATTTGTGAGCAATATAATTTGACAAAATGAATGTATTTTGCATTATATTCTATAAGACCAAGGCAGTGAAAGTAGGAGACAAAATACCGCATGGAATAAAACTGTCATACTCACCATGACTCATCTGTTAACTTATGAAAATACACTTACATCAAGAAATGCAAGAAAATTGCTCACTTCACGTGCTTATGGGTGGATTGAACCTAATTTTGTAGCATTAAAACCAATTTCCCACTGAGAAAACATGTCACAGATGATGGCATGAACCTTTATAATTATTAATAATATTTGATATTTCAATGTCACCTTTCATCCCGAGATCAGTCCTGTACACACGGGAACAGATAAGCTCCAAGGGAACAGAGATAATACTAATACAGTAATTCACACTGCATTTCTATCTTTTATATTCCAATGGCTTTCCAGCTATGTATTTTTCTTGCTTTTAGAAAGTCGTGGATATAGTTGTAAAGCAGAGGTTTTTTTGAGCTCCTACTTAAAGAAGTTTTAGGGTGGTGTAAGGACCACATCTTTCTGCACACAACTATCCTTGGGAGATTACTTCCCTTTGCTTAGTTTCTTTACCTGTTGATCTCCTTCTGAGAACCAGCAGTGGGCTACGTTCTCATGGATTCTCCAACTTCCTTCAAACGATTAACATCATCATCATCATCATTACAATAATGGTGACTACTACCGCTGCTGCTTGTAAAACATTCACTTTAGGCCTGCTCTGTTCTACTTTCTGAGAACCTCATATACATGCCGCATTAAATAATTTCACACCAACATTATAGAGTAGGACTGTTTAGCAGAACTTTCTGTAATGATGGGCATGTTCTATATCTATGCTGTCTGATATGGTGGCCACTAGCCACAGAGGGATATTGGGTACCTGAAATATAGCTAGTGCTACTGAATAGTAAAAAATCTACCTGCAATGCGGGAGACCAGGTTCGATCTTTGGGTCAGGAAGATCCCCTGGAGAAGGGAATGGCCACCCACTCTACTATTCTTGCCTGGAGAATTCCCTGAACAGAAGAGCCTGGCTGGCTACAGCCCATGGGATCGAAGAGAGTCAGATACAGTTGAATGACTCACACAGTGCTACTGAGGAACTGCGTCTTTCTTTTATTTAATTTTCATTGACATACTCACATGGCTAGTGAACTTGATATACACACCACATAAAATAATTTTACACCATTGTAAAGTTCTGTTCAACAGACCTTTCTCTGATGATAGAAATGTGGCTAGTGACTATTGAATTAGACAGCACAGTTATATAATTTGTGGTTTTTTTTTTTTAAACCCTGTTTTCATCATCAGTAAGAACTAAAGACTAGGGTGAGTGAAAAGTTCAGAAATATCTCAAAGTTTACAAATATTTTAAAAGAAGTCCCATATTTTACATTTGGAGAACTTTTATTTATATCTGCTCCCTGTCAAAATTTTATTTAAAAGATGCTTGTGGAATGGTAGGAAAGCACAGGATAATTTCTTAACAAAGAACCCTTATAGAAGACGTGGGCGATGTCCTTAAATGAAATCTCATTGTCCTCCAACCATTTCACATGGTCTGCAATGACAGGCACTAGTCCAGCCACTGAAAATTGAAATTCCAATTACTGATACTTCCAAAGGGAGACATTCACCACCACTAAAATGGAGTGATGAAAGAGAGTTTTATGTTTTGGGTGTCCATGGAGAAACAATCTTCAGATAAACTCTTAATTCACATTTCTGTAATTCTCTCACTGAAACCACCTCCCCAGGATTTTTCTAGTCTGTGTGTGAAAATATGGGAATAAACTGTTTTGACGTGGAGAAATTGATTGGAAGACTTAATTGCATTTCCGCTTAGTCCACTCTGTAACTTAGACTGTTACCACTGCCAGAGACAGAGATTGCAAGTAGCCTTTGGTTTGAACCATCTGTCGCGAAAATGTGACATATGTTTGCTTTGTTTACTCAACAACCAAGCGTAAACTGATACACTGAACAAGAAATCCGTGTGAGGTGTGACTGCGTGTGTGTGTGTGTGTGTGTGTGCGCGCGCGCGCGCGCGTTTGTGCGCGCGGCGCGTGTGAGGAGGGGGGTGCTTGCTGAGGGCTTCATACCCGCCCCCGAGGAACACGTACACAGAAGCGCAGATCCGTTGGATGTCCCCTGGGTTTGGAGCGCGTGTTGATGCCCCAGCGCCCTCCAAACAAAGCGCAGCGCGCAACCCAGCGGCCGCCGCCGCGGTGAGGCACACGCCTGACTTAAGTGTAGTTGAATGGAGAGCTACGCAGCCCTTCGAGTCCTTCATCCTTTTTTCCCCGCCCTTACACCCCGGCCTCAAACTTCAACCCAAGCCCCTGCCCTTTTCAATTATCCACCCTTCCGTCAATCAAATTGACCATTTCTCTCTCTCTCTCTCCTGGGCAGCCCATTGTCTAGTACGATGGGTTTGCATATTTGACAGCTGGGCTCACCTAGACTTGATGAAAACTCGGCTTCCCCAAGAGGTGAACTTAGACACCAGCAAAGATCCCATATATAAGTCCTGAGCCGCTGGATGAGCTTGCCACCGCGAGCTGTTGCTCAGACCCCTCTCTGGACCCAGGGTAGCCGTTAATGCCCCGTGCGACCCCCGGCGTGTGAAGAGGGGAGCGTGTCTTCAGGGCGGGGTGGGGTGGGGGTGTGGGGTCAGCAACCTGGCTGAGAACAAGTGGTCCCAGGGGTTGGGATCAAGGGCTGCGCGTGTGTTGAACCTTTAAATTTATTATTATTTTAAATTTTACTCTTGAAACAGCCAAGATGGAGGTCAGCTTATAAATTTCCCAAAGCCAGGTCTGACGCGGTTTAAATGCAGTGGGCGAGGGGGTGAGCTTTTGTCTCCTTGTTCAGGCTGGAGAAGAGAGGCAGAGACTGCGCGTGCATGTGCGACTGTGAGTGTGAGCATGTTGGCGTGGATGACTGGCTGGGCACATCCCGCGATCGCAGCTCCGAGGGCCAGGGTCTGAGTGTGTATTCTAACGCGCCCCGAGGGCCAAGGTCTGAGTGTGTGTTCTAACGCGCCAAATCTTGAGTCACAGCCGCGGGTGACGTGGGGAGAAACTTTGCGGTGAGAAGAAGGGTCTGGTTTGATTGCGCTAAGAGGGAAGGAAGAAAGAGGCCTTGTGCATTGTGCGTGTGTGTGTGAGAGAGACAGAGAAAGAGAGAGAGAGAACTGAGAGAGAGAGCAGCGGCGCTCGCGGCCGGCTGCATAGCGCTGTGTGTCCTGTGCGCGCTTGCGGGATCCAGCCCCGGGTCCCACGGCCCGTGAGTGTGTGCATCTACGGCGTCCCTGCGGGCGAGTATCGGAAGGGCTGGCGGTGTGCTGCGGGCTGGCGGGAGCAGGAACAGGCGGAGGGTCCTCCGGCAAAGAAATCTGGCCTCGGAACCCACTGTCCGCCGAGCAGCTCCCAGTAACCACTAACATCCCTAAGGGACCTCCCGAGCCGGGGCTACCAGCCGAGGACAGCGCGGCGGGTAGGGGCTCGCGAGCCGGGTTTCAGCCCCAACCGGGACATCGGTTCCCCCTCTCGCGACTGCCTCTGAATGGAGGCGAGCCCGAGGAGGAGGGGATACGGCAATGGGGGGCAGCGATTGGTGGTTTGGGTGGAGAGGGCCGGCTGAGCCAGCGAGCTGGCGCGAGGAGGGGGCGGTGAACTTCCCGGGAGAAGGGGCTCTTTCCGCGCCAGGGCTGGCGAGAAAGCTGCCGCCGCCGAGTGCTTCGACTCCAAGCAGCGGCCGGCTCGCTCTCGGAAAGTAACGTTATTTATTTATTTGCTTGCGTTCAACCTCTTGGATTGGACCCAGTAGACACCTCCTTGGACTTTGGGAGCCCGCGTCCGACCTCTCTAGCCTTTACCCTGCGCGTGCGGGCGGCTCCCGGGAATACACGCACATGCACCCCCGGGGGCCCCCTCCCAGCGCCCCGACCCGGGTAGGGGTGGGCCCTCACCCGGGCGCTAAAAAGTCCCCCAAGGCAGGAGCCGGGGAGGGCAGAGGGGCGGGGGAGGCTCCAGCGCTCTCCGCTCTCGTTTCAAAGCGCGCTCTCCCTTCCAGGTTGGGTCGGACCTGAACCCCTAAAAGCGGAACCGCCTCCCGCCCTCGCGCCAGCCGCCCGCCCGGAGCTGAGTCGCCGGCGGCGGTGGCGGCGGACGGACCGGGGAGTTTCCTCTCGCCCTGGATGGAGCTGAACTTTGGGCGGCCAGAACAGCGCGGCCGTCCGGGGATCGCTGCATGCTGAGCTCCCTTGGCGAGACCGAGCGGCAGGCCCGGATTTTCGGGGGGGCGGGGACCAGCTGCGCGTCGGCACCATGTTCCTGGCGACCCTGTACTTCGTACTGCCGCTTCTGGGTAAGTCGAGGCCGCCGCTGGCTTTCTCATCCGCGGAGTCTTTCCGGGAGTACTAGCGACAGCAACCACCTCCCCCCGCCCCGGCCCCAAATTGCGTTGCTGGTGCGGTGGGGGTGGGAGCGGGAAGTTTCGTTGCTGAACCCTCAGCAACCCCGGCTAGGGAGTGGGGCGCGGGCGGCGCGGCACTTGCCCGCAATTTTTCTTCCTTGGTTTTTGTTTCCTACGTTTTGTATTAACCTAGCCTGCGGGCAGTGAAAGGGTCTGAGCCCTCCAGCCCCGAGCCCGACGCTCCTTGTGAATCCACGGGAGCTCGCGGAGGCGCGGCGGGCAGGTGGGGTGTGGACGAGCACCCGGCCAGGAGAGCAGAGTTGGAAGGAAAAAACTTTTTCCCCAATAGCATCTCAGGGCTCCCCACCGGGCGGGCTGGGGACCAGGGTTCGTCCTCACCGCGGCCAGTGCCCAGCCCGCTGCTCTCGCCTTCCGAAAGCCCCTTGGCTTCAGTCGGGCCGGGCGGAGCGAATGGCTGCAACTGGGGCCGGCGGCTCTGGAGGTCGAGAGGACGCTGAGGCCGGTGGTTCCCGGGGCGGCAGGGCCGGCGCTCGCGGTGGGTAGCGCTGGCTCGCGGGCAAATAGCGAGAAGCCCGCAAGCTTCGGGATGTAGTAGGGGGAGACCGGCGGCAGGAGGTGCGGGGCGGGAAGACGGACTCTGGGGCGCAGCGGGGCGGGCGTGCTGGGTGCGCCGGGAGCCCCAGAAGCCGGGTCCTGCGCGCGTCCCCCCTCCCCGCTGGCGCCCCGCGCCCCTGCCCCGCCGCACTCACGCGCCCTTCCCTCCGCCCGCAGACGTGCTCCTGTCGGCCGAGGTCAGCGGCGGGGACCGCCTGGACTGCGTGAAAGCCAGCGATCAGTGCCTGAAGGAGCAGAGCTGCAGCACCAAATACCGCACGCTCCGGCAGTGCGTGGCGGGCAAGGAGACCAACTTCAGCTTGACCTCGGGCCTCGAGGCCAAGGACGAGTGCCGCAGTGCCATGGAGGCCCTCAAACAGAAATCGCTCTACAACTGCCGCTGCAAGCGGGGCATGAAGAAGGAGAAGAACTGCCTGCGCATCTACTGGAGCATGTATCAAAGCCTGCAGGGTAGGCGCGACCGCCCCCCCCCCCCAGCCCCTGAAGGCAGGGGGCCCCCAGGCCCCGGGGTCTGGCTGACCTCATCTTCCACTCACTTCTCCCCAGCTGCAGAATGAGGACCTTTCATGGGCCCTCAGGGACGGCGGCAGCTGGTGTTTGCTGCCTCCCTAGCAGCGCTCTTGGGGCCTGGTTGTTGGCAAACCCGCGTCGGGGTGGAGGGACATCCCAGGGACCCCCGCTGACCTCTGTGAAACTTGGTCGTGACATCGGAGTGGGAATCCGTTAAAGGCCGCCTCGAGGAACCTGCGACTTCCCTCCGAGGAGGAGAGCTGGCTCCCCAGGATAATCCAGAAGCTTGCACTGCGTCTTGCCTGAAGTTTCTCTCTCTGTTCTCCCCTTCTATTCTGACACAAGATAAAGAATTCAGAATAAAAAGTCCAGTGGAGTCTATTCTATCTTTACCATCCCCCCACCTCCAAACCTGATCAAAGGCAGATGTTGGGGGCGGGGGGCGGAATTTGTCATCTTAGGTGATCTGAGTCTTGAACCAGCTAGTGTGGTTCAGCCTTGGTTCATACAGAAATGACTCAGAGGGGGACAGGTCTACTTGTTACAGTCATCCATTACAATGGCAGTTTTTTGGTCCTTGTGTGCCAGAGGTGGCTCATGTTTGTAAATCTAACACAAACATTCAGTGCCTTCATCCTCCACTGAGACTCTTGCTGAAAATCTGTAATATACAGATTTGACCTCTCAGCTGCTACTTCCTCCAGAACCTGTTAATGAAAACCTATTTCAGAGGCTGACTGTTTAATAACCAGAGTACCTGCTTTGTGACCGCATGACATGTTTTGGGAGCCAAAAAAAAAAAAAAGGCAGGCGAGTGGGGGCTCTTTAGGGTCACCTTTCTTCCATTGGCTCCTGGAGACAATCTGGGCTTGTGACGTCACCGATTCCTTCCTCTCTGGTTTCCTTCCTTTGCAAAGAGTGGGAGACTTTTCTGGCAAGATCAGCCTGGGTTGCTCTCCAATGTTTTCATGGCACTCTGGGGAGATCAAGGACAACAGAGGCAGAGGGAATGAGAAGAAATAACCAGAGCCAAATAGATGCATTTGAAATCTTTGAAAGTTTCAGCATCTTTTTGTTACACAATCATCACATAATTAGAATTCAGATTCAGTAACAAAAACTGCCTGAAATATGCCTGTTTTCCAATCTGAACCCAATCTTTCTATTGTTTTTAGGAAATGATCTGCTTGAAGATTCCCCATATGAGCCAGTGAACAGCAGATTGTCTGATATATTCCGGGTGGTCCCATTCATACCAGGTAAGCAGATTCATACTTCCACTCTGATGCCCTCGCCCGCTTGAAATCCGTTGGCTTGCGTTCTCTTTGGCTCTCAAGCAGTGTATAAGGAGATAGTTGAATGGCACAGTGTTTCTGGGAAATTAGAAACAGGATGATGATAATGAAGAGGCAGAATGCCTAGAGATGATTGTATGACTTGAAAGTAATTCTAAATGAAGTAATGTGGTGTGGTGGTTTGAAAGAGGTTGGAGGAAAGTGACTTGGTTGAATTCCTCCCCACCCCCCCCGCAATAAAATATGATTGGCCAACTCTTGCAAAGGGAGTGCCACTTCTGTCTGTAGGTGGCAATCGTATTCCCTTCTTGCTGCATACTGTACGCGGTGCCTCCCTGGAAATGGGATCTATTTAAATGATGCTGCTTTACTTTACAAGATGCTTGAAGATAATCTTAGATTGCTGAAGACTCTTGGACGGACTCACGTGTCTGCCTTTGATTTAAAACATTAAGTTCTACTATTTGCTAACTTTTTTTTGGTTTGTTTTTAATTTTTCCTGAGCAAGTGTGTGCATATATGGAAGAATGTGTTACTGCCCTTTCAAAAGTGGTCTCACTTCCCATGGTTTGTTTTGTCTTTGCAAAGCTACATTTGGTTTGGAAGTGAACTTAGTTTTAGAATTAAGTTTTCTGTAACATCTGCATTCAGATAGCCCCATAAATAATGAGTGAGGCAGTAATTTCCCTTAATGACATACAGATTCCAGACTTATGTTGTCTTTATTTGTTTACAGTTAAGACTTTCTCAAGTATACACGGCCATCACAAATTGTATGTTTCTTGGTGGTTAGACGTGATGATTCACACTGAATGCGATTTTATGAGATGGTGTTTTGGTCCTGGTGAGAGTGTTCTAGTGTTCTAAATGTCTTATGCTTTCCTGCAGAAAGTCGTAGAACCAAGAAAGTATGTAAATACTGAACTTATGTGTGAGTGTATTATACATACATTCATTCACAGACATCCATTGAGCACCTGCTGCATTCTCACCATTGGGAGTTTGGCAGTGAGCCAGATCGAAGTCATATCTGCTCCCGTGAATCTTAGAAGCAGCCAGCAACTGGCATTTATTAAGCTCTTGTTATGTGCCAGGCACTGTTTAAAATCTTTTCATCACTAGCTTATGTAGTCTTCATCAAGTGTGTCTTACATATTGTTATTTCCATTTTAGAGATGAGATGATTGAAGCAAGGGGAAGTTAGGAAACCAGCCTAAGATTACAGAGCTCGTTACTGGTGAAACCAGAGTTTAAACTCAGATTTATTTGCTAGTTTGTTTTTAATTTTTCCTGAGCAAGTGTGTGCATATATGGAAGAATGTGTTACTGCCCTTTCAAAAGTGGTCTCACTTCCCATGGTTTGTTTTGTCTTTGCAAAGCTACATTTGGTTTGGAAGTGAACTTAGTTTTAGAATTAAGTTTTCTGTAACATCTGCATTCAGATAGCCCCATAAATAATGAGTGAGGCAGTAATTTCCCTTAATGACATACAGATTCCAGACTGATGTTGTCTTTATTTGTTTACAGTTAAGACTTTCTCAAGTATACACGGCCATCACAAAAATGTATGTTTCTTGGTGGTTAGACGTGGTGGTTCACACTGAATGCGATTTTATGAGATGGTGTTTTGGTCCTGGTGAGAGTGTTCTAGTGTTCTAAATGTCTTATGCTTTCCTGCAGAAAGTCTTAGAATCAAGAAAGTATGTAAATACTGAACTTATGTGTGAGTGTATTATACATACATTCATTCACAGACATCCATTGAGCACCTGCTGCATTCTCACCATTGGGAGTTTGGCAGTGAGCCAGATCGAAGTCATATCTGCTCCTGTGAATCTTAGAAGCAGCCAGCAACTGGCGTTTATTAAGCTCTTGTTATGTGCCAGGCACTGTTTAAAATCTTTTCATCACTAGCTTATGTAGTCTTCACCAAGTGTGTCTTACATATTGTTATTTCCATTTTAGAGATGAGATGATTGAAGCAAGGGGAAGTTAGGAAACCAGCCTAAGATTACAGAGCTCGTTACTGGTGAAACCAGAGTTTAAACTCAGATTTATTTGCTGGGTTTTGTAACATTTGTCTCTTACTGCTCAGAGTGTGCTCCTCAGACCATTAGCATGGACTGATGTCACCTGAAAGTTTGTTAGAAGTATGGAATCTAAGGCTACTTCCCAGAGGTGTGGGATGAGAATTTACATTTTAGGAAGCTTCCTGGGCTGAGTGCTTTATATGCTCAAGAAGCTTGAGAATCACTCCTCTGTATTATTTTTTGTGTGTGTTTATGTGGCCTGTTTCTGGGATAGAATATAAGAGGACAAGTTTAGTGTCAGAGGCATTCATACATGATCCTAAATAATGTTGATAGCTTATACCCCAGATCCCTGTTAATATTCCCTGTCCCTTTGGCCCAGCCAGGACAGTGGCTCAGACAGTGGAGTAGGAATGCGCAGACAAGACCCATCAGAGTTTTTGTGTTAGCAGATCAGTAGGAACTAGGGTTGGGTACCAGAAACCTGACTGACCTTCCTGGTACCGTGAGGGGCAGTGCCTCCTGCTGGCTGTCTGTGCCCTGGAAGCATCACTGCTCAGTCTTTGTACCAGTGCCTTGAAGGATGTGAACCCTTCTCGCCTGCTGGGAAAGTGAGAGTAAGGAAATAGGTAAGGAAGAAGGTTCATGTGGGTTTTAATTTTAAAACTGTTGTGAACTATAGGGCTGTAATAGACTCATTTTACTCTCTCTGGGTCTCTCTTTTTTTGGTATAGTGAGACGGTTGAAGTAAAAAATCCCCAGTCCTAACAGTCCATGATTCTGAGGGTGGATTGAGGTCACCTCCAAAATCCCCTTTTTTCAATCCTTGCATTCTTTCTCCACTTAAAGTGACCTGGCCATTCTTGGATACCACTGGCTTGTCTGGATTTTTTTTTTTTTTTGATGATTATCAGAAATGCTTCTGCCTGGACCAAGTTCCAAGTCCCACCCATTCATTTTTTTGTATTGCTCTCTCAAACAGGTATGTTTTCATAACAAATATGTTGTAAGACCCAGCCTACCAAGGACCCAGAAGTCGTAATGAATTACTCAGGGCCAGGAAGATCTTGTCTGGAGCTATATTTTTATATCTCAAGGGCGTTGGATTTAGGTTCCAGCTGTAATGAGCTTTGACCTCTACAGTGACTGTGTTCCTTAAGTGGGTATAAGAGAGCCAAATGGAGCCTCGAGAGGTTTCGAGCCATTGAATAATGCATATGATCCTGTTTGGCATTTGTAGGATGGAGAGGGACAGAGGATCGGGATGATGATTGCTGCTCTTCATGGTTTGAATCTGAGTTTCTAGAACATCTCTTCTGTTTTAAGAGTGTCTCTGAGGAAACCAGGTCAGCAGGGCCTTTGCCTTTTACAGATAGGGTAGCCGTCAGGGTTTCCATATTTGGATGTCTCTACCCAAGGTGAAGAGAATGTTTATCCACATGTGCTAAGGGTGAGCTGAATCCTTTCACCGAACAAGACATGTTTGACGTTCTTGCATTTCCATTTTCCTTGGATTCATCAAACCCATAACCATCTTTGCCACTGTTTACTTGATCACTAGTTAAAAGGCCATATGGAGATATTATCAGTGATGGGAACAAGGAAGGGACCAAAAATAAGGTTGAATAATGTAAAAACTGTCATCTGAAGCCTGAACTGCAGAAGGGAAATCAAGCAGGCTAGTCTGGCGAGAATTGAGGTGGGAAGTTGGAAGGATTCTTCTCTTGGAAGCACAATAGCAGAAGTGGAAGCATTGGCCTCCAAGGCACTTTGAAGGGCTCTAGGAAGTGCCCTTTCTGTGGGTGGATGCTGGTGTGGTTTTTAGGGGTCCCAGCAGACAGTGAGCTAGAGGACACAAAGGAACAAGTGAGTCAGTGCAAGAGGACATCAGAAGAGGGGACCAAACACAGGAAAGTATCTTGGGAGCCAGGAGGGCAGAGCTGTGTGGGTGCTCAGGGTGTCTGAGGTTGGAGCTATCAAGTGATAGCTATCAAGTGATAGCTAGCAAGTCACATCTCTGACTCTTAGCCATGACTTTACTCTTTCACTTCCATTCTGCCTCACCTTTTCTTCTTCACAAAAGTTCAAATGCAGCAAGAAATAAATAGTGATTTGAAAGGAAGATGAGCTTGTTGGCACTGTTTTTGGACTCTGGAGGGGGAGCGCAAAGCAGTGAGAAATTTGAAGAGTAGAGTGGGTGCTGAGAAGAGCCTGGGGATGGAGGATCAGAGAGTGGATATTAGCCCCTCGAAGACAGCAAGAGATTTTTTTTAAGAAAGGGCTCCAAGATTTAAAAGTATTGATTGGGAGGTCGGATTTCGTAGAGAAGAGTCAAGAAATGCCAGATCTTCCTCAGGGGTAATCAAAGTCAATGGTATTTGCAAACAAGAGTGAAGTGGAGAGATTGTGGGACAAGAGTGATGCTGGTATTTGAACATCCTATATCTGCTTTGGTGAAAGACAAAGTTCTAGTTCTCTGGCTTTGCAACTATTTCCCTGCCAAGTCCCAGTCACTGGCTTAGATTTTCGCAGGAAACCTTAGGATCTTGAGATTGGTTCCCAAGTAATTGGAAATGGCTTGCCGCAGCATCAGATGCCCCTAAGCTCTCCTGAGTTTGGCTCCTTTTTGAATGATGCTGTAAATCATGAGCCAAGTTTAACATTTCTATTTTAATGCACCATCATATTTATGTAACTATTAAATGAAAAGTTTCTTAAAATGTTTACATGTTGAAGAAGAGCCTTATAAGACCATCTGCTGTCTTGTCAAATTATGACAAGAGAGAAGAGCTTGTAAGTACTAGCTGCTAGGGGTGTATGGTGGTCCTCTCCTTTTTATTCAGCTCTCTAATCGTGTGTCCCTCTGTTGAGAAACCCTATAAGTCTTTTGTTCTCTATTCTGGCATATGTTAAACTCCTTCACGGGGCTTCCAG